TTTATCGCACACTAAGTGTATTAAAGTTCTTTTCTATTAAAAGTTGTAAGGTAAAGAAAATATCAGGCTTTTCTGCCCTTCCGCCATCAGGATAGATGATGGATCCTTGTCCTGAATGCATGCCTGATGGCGGGCACCTGGAATAAGGTGTGGGCATAGGTAGATGGGATTCAGCTGAGCTAAGACTGTGCTTTTTTAAGGGTGGCGTCACGGGGGGACGCCAGCAGCACCAGTAGCAGCAGCAGCAGCAGTAGAAGCCGAAGCAGAAGCCGAGAAGCAGCAGAACAAACGCTAGAGAGCCCAGATAGAGTGAAGACTTGCTGGGGGGTGGGAGGCCTGCCAACCTCCCAGCCCCCCAGCCAGCACCCCTGCCTGCCATATGCCTGGTGAACCCCAAATAAAAAACCTGCAAAACCACTGAGGACTCTGACTCCTCCTTTACCCGGTCTGCATGGGATCAGAAAACCTGCACTGTGTCCAGTCCTGGCCTTTACAAAGGTCTTACACATTAGAGAATGTTTTGTCTTTATGCAGCTGATGACAGATCCCATGTAGAGTGTGTAGGTTTGAGGGTTAGGGGAACCCCTCATTCTGTCCACTAACAGGAGCAGATTCCATTCCCACCCACCATGTACCAGAGTTCCGTTTCCTCCACACCCTTCAATGGGCCATTCTCACAGGTGTAAGGTGGTAACTCATTGTGGTTTTAATTGGCATTTTCCTGATAGCACATGATGATAAACATTTAACCACGTACCTATTTGCCACATGTGTGTGTTCTTTAGAAAAGTACCTATTTAGCTCTTCTGCCTCTGTTTTGGTTGGGTTGTTTTCTTGTTTTGGAGTTCTTTGTAGATCTTGGATAGTAACTCCTTCTGGATATATGAGATGCAAATATTTTCTCTAACTCAATATTGTCTTTTCATTTTAATGACAGTTTCCTTCACTATGTAGAAGCATTTTAGTGTGATGTGATTCCATTGGTTTCTTTTTGCTTTTGTTTCCTTGGAGCACAAAAGAAATTATGGGTAGTGAAAATACTCTGCATGCTATTATAATGATGGAACAGGTTTGTCCAACATCCACAGAATGGACAACACCAGGACTTTGGCAACTATGACATGCTGGTCCATCACTGGTAACACACGTACATGTCCATCTGGTCTTAACATGTGATTTGGACGTGATGTGTGAAGAGTTTTGTAAGTTGAACAGTGTAGTGTAATTTACTTTTGAAAGCATATTTCACACACATGCAAGAACATTTAAATAACACTCAGGGAGACACATAATTAAGTCATTCCCCTCCATCCTCCCAACATCCCAGTCAGCCAGGACATCTGCTCAAAGCCAGTTAGCAATTTATCATTTCTCTAGAATTTATAAAACAACACTGAAAGCTCAATGATCAGAAAGAAATAACCCAATTTTAAAAGGGACAACAACAGTGTTGTAAATGAGTGGTGCCTCATTTGAAAAATGGACAAAAGACTTTAACAGACACGTCACCAAGAAGAGACACAGACGACAAGGAAGAACATGAACAGATGCTCAGCAACACAGGTCACTAGGGAAAGACAAAAAGAACAACAGTGACGCCATCACACCTGGTAGGGAGTGAAAAATGCAAACTCTGCTCAGGTGCTGCCCAGGATGTGGACAACAGGTGCCTCCTCACTGCCGGCCGGAATGCAAAATGGCGCAGTCACTGTGGAAGATTTTTTGGGTTTTCTTTGAAAACCCAAAAACTTGACATACAGCCCAGCGATCACTGCCCCAGCTAGTTACACAACCAATTAGAAACTTAAATTTGCATAAAACCCTGCATGCATGTAAATGCTTATAGCAGAACACCTGTAAGTGTGAGCTGTCCATAATGACTTTCTTCCAAAGACAACAGTATCTAAAGAAATGGAAAAGATGGCTGACACCTGGAGTGGGGTGTGGGCATGCAAAGGTGGGTACACCTGGGCTGAGAGACTGGGCTTATAAGGGCGGAGTCACCGGGATGCCAGCAGAGCAAAAGAGAGACCAGAGGAGAACCAGCAGAGGCCATGAGAGAATGCCCAGAAAGAGTGAAGATTCGCCAGGGGCTAGGAGTCCTGGCAGCCTCCTGGCGCCCCAGCAGTCCACCTGCTGTGTACCTGGTAAACTCACTAAAAGCCTGAAAAAGCCACTGAGGGTTCCAGGACTGCTCCTTCACCCATCTGCTCAGATGATGGAGATCCTGCTCTGTGCCCTTCCTGCCACTACAAGATGCTACAGGAAGTACAAGGAGGTGCAGACTAGAGGTGGGATGTGGGGATGGAGCCATTGCAGAGAATCGCTGCTCCTGACAAATCAGCCTAGTCACACTGTAGAAGTAATTAATTTAAAGACATGACAATTGCACAAAAGAATGAGCCCCTCCCAACCAGAACACTACCTCAGTGCCCTTTTTGCCTCAGGAACATGCAGCTCTGCTCCCAAGGTTGCCTCTTTCTGGGACCTGACCTAACACACCTGCCCTCTTCAGGTGCAACAATTTCTGCCAAGTGTGTCTGCACAAGCATCTTATTCTTTCCGTGTGTGTGTGTATATGTGTGTCCACACCACTGAAAAAGAGGACCCTGGTGAAGCTTTTCTTAGATGTGATCCAAGAACCCCCATCTGTGACCCCAACACTTCTCCCAAACATCACTCCTCACCAGTGTCAATGTTATAAAAACAAGGAAAGTCTGAGAAACTGTCATCCAGGCAAACTGGATGGGATTATGCAGCATAAAATGAATATTAGCAAAAACTAATTAAAGTATGGCGTTTAGTAATTATGTCAACATTGCTGCATTAGTTGTAAAAAAAAAAAAAAAAAAAAAACAAAACTGGGACCTCCTCTGGTGGCGTAGGCAGTTGAGCGACGCCCTGTGAAGCTGTCCACAGCCTCTGCAGTGCAGGTTCAATACTGGCCGGCTGCGAGGGTTTCACATGGCGAAGCAGACTTCTCCTGTCTCTCCCGCTGCTCTCCTCAGCAGTGTATTTCGTCAGTCTGCCTGTTCTGTTCCCCACTCTTTCTCCCCTCTGTCTCCCCTCTCACCCTTCTGAGCATTTGGCCTGTACCCCGGTTCTTGTATAAATAAATAAAATCTTTAAAAAACAAAACTGTACTCATGTAGGAAGAGTAAACAAAGTGGAGATGGTGTGGGATAAACAAGAACTGTACTACTTTTGCAACTTTTCTGTAAATCGAACAGTATTCTTTAAATGTTATTTTTTTAAATACTCTCAATATTTAATAGGTTATAGAAGGAAAAAATTTTCTCTTTTCCAGTTCTCCCAGGTATCGCTGTCCTGGGACTGGAGAGAGGGGTTCTGGGAGAAAAGCTGGAACCCTCACACCCAGGGCAGGCTCCGGAGTCTCCTCTCCTCTGAGCCCTGCTGCTCTGACTCCTCACAGAGCATCTCACCCCCACGCCGCCGCCCCCCAGGATCCCCAACTCTGCCCACCTCAGCCCCCGCCCCGTCCTGGCGGCGCCACCAGAATCCGGAGCAGCGCGGCAGCGCCCCCGTGTGGCCACAGGGCTGAGCACAGGAGCCCAGAGCCGCCCTTTCTCCTGCTCAGCCAGGCCCTCCCCAGGCTCCCTGGGCCCCCAGCGGCAGGACAGGGATCTGCTCACAAGGGGGCGCCCAAGTCCTGTGTCAGGTCAGAAGTCCCCAAATTTTCTTAGTCCCATGGACAAAAGAGGCAAAACCGGGTTTCCAGGTCAAAACAGCTGATTCCCAGATTATGGGCTGATCCCCCAAATACAGAGGTTCCTTCAGTCTCGGATGGATCCTTGGACTCCAGACTCTGTACTTTGTTTCTGCTTCTGCTTCCAGGGGTGAAAGCACCTCCTGGGAATTAACATTCAATTCTACCCAGGAGCCCAGGTCCTCGCCCAGGAAAAGGACAAGGTTCCAGGAAAAAAGGCAAGGCCTGAGGGCGACCATCCATCCACATCTTGCAGCAGAGGGGGTGCGGGAGTGATCGGAACTGGGGAGAAACATGGGGGAGCTGGTGGTGGTATGGGAAGGAAGTGGAAAGGCCGCACCGAATAGGAACAATAACTGTGGAAAGATGACCCATGATGTAAGGAAAAAATATACATATTTAAATCATTCTTTATCCTTGATGGGTCTCCCTGGTGGTGCACGGGGTTAAGCACAGCACTGTGGAGATATCCACAGCCTCTGCAGCATGAGTTCGATTCCCCAGCCGGCCAGGGAGCTACCCACATGGCGCAGCAGATCTTGACTGTCTCACTCACTGCCCCCCTCAGCAGTGTGTTTCGGTCAATCTGCTGTTCTGTTCCCCACTCTGTCTCTGGTGAATCCTCTCATGCCCCTGCATCTCTGGCCTACACTCCAGTTCTTGTGTGCATAAATAAACAAAACTTTAAAGAAAAATTCTCCATCCTTGAATGAGGGGAGGGCCGAGGAGCGCCCCCAGGCTGTGGCTAGGAAGATGGGGAGGCTCCTGGAAATGAAGCAGAGGGTGAAAATGGGGCTAGGGTATGGGGTCCAAAAGGAGTTGTGGGGGAACCAGAGAAGACCAGGCAGGGAAGGGGCAGAATGGGGGACACTGTGAGGGGAAGGTCTGTGTGGGTGACATGGGCTCTGGCTGGGCCTGGGAGAGTCTCTGTCTCCCCTGGTGGGACTGCAGAGGGGCTGGCGCTGTAAGTGACCAGTAAGTTACCTAAGTTCTGGGCCTTTCCTGTCCGTGCAGGGCTGGTGTGACTCAAACACGCACACTCAGGCTGATGAAGGAGAGAGATGAGGAGACGACAGATGGTTAGGAGGACGCCCCTATTTCCTGAGCCACAACATCCTCCCCAACTCCCCAATGCTGAGGGATCAGGAAGCCAAAAGGAGGGCAGAGCAAGGCCTGTGTCCCCTGGAGGACCAGGGGGCTGATTCTGGAGTTCCAGGGCCCCACTCCCTGCAGGCGGGTGCTGGAGTCCAGCTCCAACGAGGGCAGGGTCCCTGCAGGACGAGATGGTGTTGGCACAATGGAGGGATGAGGGGAGGGGGAGATGAGGTAGATGAGGTAGTGAGGAGACACTGACACTTGACATCTCCCACTGATAACCTCAGCGGAGCTTTATTTTTACATCAGAAATTATTTGATCCTTACATCATGCAATCATGATTGATTTTACTTTTACAGTGTTTCAGAAATTATTAATGATCATTAACAGTGCACAGTCCTTTTTTAATTTTTCTAGTCTATGATGAACTTGGTCACTTGGTTACATTAACTCGGTTACATATTTCCCTGGGTGATGTATGTTATTCAGAAAATAGAAACAGGTGCTGCACACAACGTGATTTGTGCGGTCAAGCGAGGTAACTGAAACAAGGCTAAGCAGGCATTGTAAGATCGAGGGCGGCTTCCTATTTTCTATATAGAACCAAGGGGTCCCGGTACCATGGGAACAGTATGTGGGGTGTTTCTCTTGGACCATTTCGCCTCCCGGGGCGCCTCAGGGCCTTCGCTAGTGGGGACTTTTGCCGGGCTTGGTTCCAACAGCTCTATCAAGGGTGGCTTATTAAAGAACTCAATGTTACTCATGGTAACTGAATTACAAATTGGAGGACATGGAGAATTATTGGGAACCGTTTCGCTATCAATTGTGTTGGAAGGCTCATTTCTCAAACTACTGAGGTGTGCACTGCCAAAACTGGCACTGGTGCCAACACTCGTTGTGTTATTCTGAAGCTTATAGAAAATTTCCATGGTTACTATAACTGCCACAAACAAATGAAAGGAATAGCAGGAGCCAGCTATGGAGTTTTCTTTTCAGAAATTTCCCCCAAACCCGGACCTTGTCAGACAGCATGGGTAGCATGGCCCATGCCATTCTCCTGGTGATTCTGTTCCCGGAAGCCTCCCTTATAAGCCCTGTCTCAGCCCAGCTAAATCCCACCTATGTATGCCCACACCCTACTCCAGTTGGCCACCATCAGGTATGCATTCAGGACTGCAGGGATCCATCATCAATCTTAATGGCAAGAGGGAAGAAAAGCCTGACAATAATTTACCCTACACACACTGACCATCACACCTGAGTGTATATAGGGTAAGGGAAAATGTCAGGCTTTTCTGCCCTCCCGCCATCAGGATAGATGATGGATCCTTGAGGTCCTGAATGCATGCCTGATGGCGGGCACCTGGAGTAGGGTGTGGGCATAGGTAGACGGGATTCACCTGGGCTGAGACTGTGCTTTTAAGAGCGACGTCACGGGGACGCCAGTAGCAGCCGAAAGAGAAGCCGAGAGAGAAGCTGAGAAGCAGCAGCAGAAGCCGAAAGAGAAGCCAAGAAAGAAGCAGAGCCATAGAAAGAAGCAGAGAACGCCAGAGAGCCCAGATAGAGTGAGGATTTGCTGGGGGCTGGGAGCACTGTCAGCCTCCCAGCCCCCCAGCACTCCTGCCTGCCATATGCCTGGTGAACCCCAATAAAAGACCTGCAAAAAGGGGCCTCCCCAGTGGTGCAGTGGTTGAGCGATGGGTTGCGAAGCTGCCCACAGCATCTGCAGCGCCGGTTTGATCCCCGGCTGCTCCCTGGCCACTGGAGGAGGGTCCCACATGGCGCGCAGACCTCTCCTGCCACCCGCTGCTCCCCTCAGCAGTGTACTTCGGTCCTTCTGCCTGTTCTGCTCCCCGCTCTGGCTCTGGTGAATTCTCTCACCCTCCCGTGCTTCTGACTGTACCCAATGCTTGTATAAATCAATCAATCAATCTTAAAAAAAAAAAAAAAACCTGCAAAAAAACAATAAGGACTCTGACTCCTCCTTTACCCGGTCTGCATGGGATCAGAAAACCTGCACTGGCCCAGTCCTGCCCCCTACAGTGTAGCTTCCTCCTTTTCCTCCTGTGGGAGGGAGCACCATGTGAGACCAGGGAGAAGTCAGGCTATGAAGCCCTAACAGAATCCCCAAGTCTGGAACGCAGGAAAGTTTCCAGAACTGACTGGACACTTACGGCAGGACCAGGAAATATGAACAGAGGAGATGAGAGGGGACTGGACCAACTGCTTCCTGGGTCTGCCCTCAGCAGCAACCTTCCCCTCCTCTGCCATTTACTGGAATCAGGGCCCCAGCACCAGAATTATCAAGGAGAACAATGTGACTCATTTTCAAAAATGCTTTACAAAAAAGGGTTAGCAATCACCTCCAGACTGGCCAACACACGTGTGTGGATGGTTGTAGGGTAAGTGTAGGGTAAAGAAAAAGTATCAGGCTTTTTTGCCCTCCTGCCATTAGGACAGATGAGGGAAACCTGTGATCCTGAATGCATGCCTGATGGCGGGCACCTGAAGTGGGTACACCTGGGCTGAAAGACTGAGTTTGTAAGGGTTTTGTAAGGGTGGACTCACAGGGATGCCAGCAGAAGTCGAGAGAGAAGCAAGAGAAATAGAAGCCAAGAGAAGGCCGGAGAGCCCAGAGTGAAGACCTGCTGGGGGCTGGGAGGCCTGACAGCCTACCAGCCCCCCAGCACCCCTGCCTGCCGTGTACCTGGTAATCCCAATAAAAACCTGCAAAACCACTGAGGACTCTGACTCCTCCTTTACCCGGTCTGCTGGATCAGAAAACCTGCTCCATGCCCTGTTCCTGACCCTACAGTAAGTAAAATCCATATCAAGTTTTTCGCCTTCCCGCCATTATATTAAATGCATGCCAGGTGGTGGGCACCTGGAGTAGGGTGTGGGCATGCATAGGTGGGATACACCTGGGCTGAGAGTGCACTTATAAGGGTGGCATCACGGGAACGCCAGGGGAACAGCAGAACCACCAGAAGGAGGACAAGTGAGAGAGCAGCACCAGCAGAGAAGCAGAGGCCACGAGAAAACGCAGGACAGTCCAGAAAGAGAAAAAAACAACAACAACAACAACAAAAAAAAAAAACCAAGTGTGAAGACTTGCTGGGGACTGGGAGGTCTCCCAGTGCCTGCCAGCCTCCTGACCCCACCACTACACCCCTGCCTTCCCTGTACCTGGTAAACTCAACAAAAGCATGAAAAAGCCACCGAGGGCTCCAGGACTCCTCCTTCACCTGGACTCCTCCTTCACGCATCAGCTCGGGTCATAGAGAACCTGCACTGTGCTCATCCTGCTCTTACAATGGTAGTTCCCATTACCAGGTAGGGCTAGTTCTACCTGTGGCCTCAAAGCCCCCAGTGGACATGATGCCCCCCACTTCCTTCCCTATGTGAGCACTTCTTCCTCCACATCACAGCTGCAGCCACCGCAGTTCCAGTGAGCACAGCTCCAAGGAGAACCAGGCCAGCAATGATGTCCACGGCAGAGTCGGGGGGCTGAAGAGAGGGATCTGGAAGGGAAGGGGGGACCCTGAGCCCCAGGCCTCATCCTGACCCTCTGAAGGTCTCCAGAAGGATTCTTGATGTCCCTGAGAAGCTCTGTGCCCACATCCCCCTCTTACCCCAAGTCAGGAATCGGGGCTCCAGCAGCCCTTTATGCTGCACATGGCACGTGTATCTTGGCTCCTCTCCAGAAGGCACCTCCACAGCCACCCACTTCTGGAAGTTTCCATCCCCCCCAGGCCTGGTCTCCACCAGCTCCATGTCCTGGGTCAGGTCTTTCCCATCTCGCTGCCAGGTCAGGGTGATGTCCGCAGGGTAGAAGCCCAGGGCCCAGCACTTCAGGGTGACTTTCTGGTCAGAGGTGGGGAGGCGGGTCACCTGTGTCTTTGGGGCCTCTGAGGAGAAGGGTGAGAACTTACACACTTTGAGTTTTTCTCTCATGGACCCTGAAAAACCCTCCTGTGACCCTCCTCAGACTGGACAGGACAGTGGATTTGGAAAGAGGAAGCACAAAATCTAGAAACCAGCCTGGTCTGGGGAGTCTGGGATAATCTCTTGTTCCTTAGAAAATGCTAGAATTAGGTGACAACTCTGGATAGGAGGACGCAGTTCTCTAAGGAGGAGAGCACAGGCTTTTGCTCCTGACCTGGGGACTCACAAAAGCAGAGTCAGATCAGAAAAATGTCCTCAGACCAATAACAAGACCTTGAGAGAAAAACTAATGGTTCCCAAGAGGGCTGCTGGTCAAGAGGATCAGTGAGGGGTGATTTCAGGGCTGGTCTCCCCTCAGGCTCAGAGGAAAACTTCTGAGGAAAAGTGGGGTCCTCTGAGGAGTCAGGAAACCGGGGGTGGGGGGTGGGGGTGGAGGGGGGGTGGGATGGGGGGGTGGCATGGGGTGGGGGCGCTCCTCCTCCTCCCCTGACCAGAGAGGGGGCGCTGCTGTGACCCTGACTACATCCTCCCCGCTGGTGCTGGCCTGAGGGGGTTGGGAGACCTCCGGGCTCCTCTTACCTGAGCGCTGCAGCGTCTCCTTCCCGTGCTCCAGGTACCTGCGCAGCCACTCCACGCATACGCCCTCCAGGTAGATCCTCCTGCGCTCCGCCTCTCCGCGCGCCTCCCATTCGCGCCGGGAGATCTGAGCGGCCGTGTCCGGCGCGGTCCAGGAGCGCAGGTCCCGGTTCAGGGCCAGGTAATCGGCGCCGTCGTAGGCGACCTGACTGTACCCGCGGAGGAGGCGCCCGTCGGGCCCCACGTCGCAGCCGTACATCTCCTGGAGGGTGTGAGAGTCTGTCCCCGCCCCGTCACCCCGCGTCACCCCGCTCCCCCCCACCCGGGAATAAACCGAAACTGACGCGGGAACCTCGCGGGGAACGTCCCGGGGCTCGTCCCGGGTCGAGGGTCCGGCGGGTCCCCCCGCCTCGGGGGACGCTCGGGCCCGGGGTCCCCGCCCGCCCGCGGGGGTGGGGTCGTGAGCGCCCCGGGCCCGCCCCGCTCACCGGCCGCGCTCTGGTTGTAGTAGCCGCGCAGGACGCGCAGGTTCTCTCGGAATATCTGCGCGTTTGTCTTGGCGCTCCGCGTCTCCTCCTCCCAGTACCCAGGCCCAACCTGCTCTGCCCAGGGCGCTCGCGGCTCCATCCTCGGCCCCGCCGCGTCGCTGTCGAACCGCACGAACTGCGTGTCGTCCACGTAGCCCACCTCCATGTAGCGGGGCTCCCCGGGGCCGGGCGGGGATATCGAGGTGGAGAAATACCGCAGGGAGTGCGAGTCTGGGGGCCGGAAGGGAGACCCGGGATGAGCCTCCTCCCGCGCGCGCGGGTCCCCAGGAGATGGGGCGAGAGGGGAGGGGGGGACGGGGCTCCTGAGATTGAAATGGGGCAGCAGGTGAGAAGGCTGAGACTCAATGGGGCAGAGGAGGCAGGAGGCAGGGAGGGACAGAAAGGGGTCAGGGCAGAGTGGGGTCAAGGGCGACAACAGGGTCAGCAGTGGGGGAGAGGAGTCTTTCCTGGGTCCTTGCCCCGCCCAGGTTCCTCTACTACCCCCCTCCTCAGTGGCCTTTTCTCTCCAGAGTCCACACTCACCTGCCCAGGTCTCTGTCAGGGCCAGGGCCCCTGAGAGCAGCAGCAGGAGGGTTGCGGGCCTCATGAGGGGTGCTCTTGAGGTCTGGGGAGACTCTGAGTCCACACTGGTGGCAGCTGTGATGCTGGTTGGAGTCTTTGGAGACCTCCAGGCAATGGGGAGTGAGATCTGGGGGTGAGTCACCAGTATTCAAAGGACTTGACCCCTGTGTGGGGGAGAGATGTGAAACCTTCCCTGCCCCAAGCACAGCCCACAGGGCTGATACCCTGAGAACCACACCAGATACCTGGGACTTTGTTGCCCCCTCCTCTCCTGCTCCATGGCCTTTGTCACACTGTTGCCTCCCTGAGACCTGTCCAGGGACTGGGACAGCGATTTTTCAAGCTTTTTTGTTTCAGGATCTCTGCAGTTTTACAAATTAGCCAGGACCCCGGTATAAGTTTAAGAGGTTATAGCTCTCCAGATTTACTACATGAGGAATAAAAACAATTTAAAGATATTTTCATTTAATTTAGAATAATATTTATAACCCAATGTGTGTTCAAAGTGTATTAAAGAAATGTAGATATTTAATGAAAATAATCAGGGTCATAATGGAACCAAATAGAAAATCCAGATATAAACCCACAGATTTATGGTCAACTAATCTTTGACAAAGGAGCAAAGAATATGCACTGGAGCAAAGAAAGTTTGTTCAATAAATGGTACTGGGAAAACTGGGTCGCTACATGCAAAAGAATGCAGCTTGACTACTACCTCACACCATGCACAAAAACCAACTCAAAATGGATTAAAGAACTAGACATAAGACCTGAAAATAATAGAAGGAAATACAGGTGAAACACTACATGACATGCACCTCAAAGACATCTTTACATACACATCACCCAAAGCAGTGATAGTGAAGGCAAAGATAAACAGCTGGGACTACATCAAATTAAAGAGCTTCTGCACAGCAAGAGACAATAACAAAAACAACGAGAAACCCCACCGACTGGGAGAACGTTTTTGCACCTAACACTAATGATAAAGGACTGATCACAAAAATCTACAAAGAGCTGATGAGACTCAACAACAACAAAGAAAATAATCCAGTCAAAAAATAGGCAGAAGAGCTAAAAGAAACTTCTCCGAAGAGGAAATGCAAATGGCCAACAGGCATATGAAAATATGTTCAACATCACTTGTAATCAGGGAAATACAAGTCAAAACTACCATGAGATACCATCTTACACCAATGAGAATGGCACATATTAAAAAAACTAGCAACAACAAATGTTGGCGAGGTGGTGGAGAAAAAGGAACTCTCCTGCACTGCTGGTGGAAGTGAGAACTGGTCCAACCACTATGGAAAACTGTGGAGATTTCTTGACCTAATAAACATAGAGCTGCCATATGATCCAGCAATTCCACTCCTAGGTATTTACCCAAAGGACACAGAAACATCAATTCCAAAGAGCACCTGCACCCCTATGTTTATAGCAGCACTGTTTACAATAGCTAAGGTTTGGAAACAACCCAAATGCCCAAAAATAGATGCCTGGATCAAGAAGATGTGGTACATATACACCATGGAATATTACTCAGCATTCAAAAAAGATAAACACATGCAATTTGCAGCAACATGGATGGCGCTGGAAGGGATCATGCTCAGTGAAATAAGCCAGAAAGAAAAAGAAAAATACCAGATGGTCTCACTCATAACAGGAATCTAGAAAACTTAAATAAGGGACCAGGAAAAAGAATAACTATAAGAAAGAAAAAATCAAAATCAACAAACAACTATGAACCAGAGACACTCTGGGGGGATGAGGGGTGGGGAAAGGAGGGATTGGGTTCAAAATAAGGGGGTTGCAATTGTATGGGGAATATAAAATAAAATAAAAAAAGGAAAGGAAAACACAAATAAATGGACATATATACTTTTTCCTTTTAAAAAAGAACAAATTGGGCCTCTCCTGGTGGTGCAGCGATTGAGCACTGGGCTGCGAAGCTGCCCACAGCCTCTGCAGAGCAGGTTCGATCCCTCACCTCTGGCGAGGGTCCCACATGGTGCAACAGACCTCTCCTGCCGTGCCCGCTGCTCCCCTCAGCAGTGTATTTCGTCTGTCTGCCTGTTCTGTTCCCTGCTCTGGCTCTGGTGAATTCTCTCACCCTCCCGTGCTTCTGACTGTACCCAGTGCTTGTATAAATAAATAAATAAATAAATAAATAAATAAATAAATAAATAAATAAATAAATAAATAAATAAATCTTTTAAAAAATAAATTAAAAAAAAAAAAAACAAATTACAAAATTTAAAGTACCTGAATTCAAAATTTACTAAAGCTGCATTAATCAGGACAGTGTGATCCTGGCCTAAGTCCTGACAGGCATCAACAGAACAGATTGGAGTGTCCGGAAATAGATACACTTGGGCAATCACTTAATTTTTAACAAAGACAGCAAAGTAATGCATTGGGGTCAAGGAAAACCTTTTCAATGAAAGGTATGGGAACAATCGGATATTCAACTGCAAAGTTTATTTAAAAGGAACCTGAATGTTCTTCAGCATTGCTATTATCCAGCATCACACTCTGCTCTTACCCTTTTCTAGAGACACATTAATAAAGTATCACTACTGACTAGTATCAACAATCAAGACATTGTTTCCACTATTCCAGTGCTATTCCTACTACAGAGATAGCACCTTATATTTACAAAAATAACCTTTTTAAATTATTAAAATAACAGTAATCATTAATAACAGTTCCAGCATTAAATTAAAAAGTACACAATAATTATCTATTATACAACCTAGGAATCACTGAAATTGAGATGATGTTTTTAGGCTTCTACAAACTGAAATTGTTTGACTGTATTGTGACAACATTAGCTTTCATTTCAACTTATTCTCATGACATTTGTATGTCATTTTCATGACATTTCATGTCCCAAAGAAATAAATTTTAACTGCAAGCTATAACCAAATTGCATATCTAATAAACAACTATTTCTAGAGTATATAACAAACTCATGAATCTTGTATGGAAATAGCCCATTTCACAATCCTCTATCAAAAATGTAATTTGAGGGGCCTCCCTGGTGGCACAAGGGGTTAAGACACAACCTTTGAAGCTATCCACACCCACTACAGCACAAGTTCAATCCCCTGCCAGGGAGCTACCCACATGGCACAGCAGACCTCTCCTGACTAGCCCACTGCTTCTCTCAGCAGTGTACTTCCCTAAATCTGCCTATTCTGCTCCCCACTCTGTCTCTGGTGAATTCTCTAATCTCCCCCACCCACCCACACACACCTCTGGCTTGTACCCTAGTTCTTGTACACATAAATAAATAAATCTTTTTTAAAAAATGTAATTTGACTGTTGAGCAAGCAAGGAAGTAAGGGTGGAACAAATTGATTTTTGCCTTTTTTGTTATGTTAGACGTGTTTTGTGTACTTTGTATACTTAGTTATGGCATTGACTGTGAGGAAATTTAGGGCGGCTTTCAAAACTGAGGATTTCAAAATTATATTTAAGCATCCTGTTACAAGAAAAACAACAGAAGCAGTCTCCAGGCAGTAAAATGGATGACAGGTAAGATGGTCCATGGCCACTGTTGATTGTTGAAGTTCTGGCAACTTGAACTAATTGGTCAACTATGGTCTCATCCAGGAATTTCAAAATTATGTACAAGAATAAAGTTTGCCTCTTCATGTGGCCTTCAACTACAGCCCACTTTGTGAAGTGAAGACCAGAGAGAGGCAAGGTTCAGGGAGAAAGAAGACAGGAGGAAACGAAGCAGATTTGGACCAAGAGCACTTGCTAGAATCTGTCAGCTTAGTTGCAGGTTTCACTTCCTTCCAGAACTCCAGTGCCTGTTGAGCATGATTTCTGGCACCAGTTACACATCGTTCACTAACTGACTTACAGAGCGTTGGCAAGAGACTGATGAAAAAATGTTTTTGGATGAGCTTTTCTAGAGCCGTTTTCCCCAGATGTGCGATCTGGTGATATTCTAGTGCAAGCTGGTTTCCCAGGGCTGCGGGCACACGAGCCGCCCGTCAGGCAGTCTCCACCACCCGCTTCGCCTGGTGGGCGCCTCGGACCTAGCCCACCGAGTCTGTTGTTCCGAATAGAGGGGAGTGGGAGCTCATGAATGGGAGCGGGTCGCTTTGTGGTCTCAGGTCCCGGGACACTTTGAGGGGAGGCAGCGACCCCCAGGGCGGACGGAAAGGCGGGAAGCGCCGGGCCGGTCATCAAGCTGCTGGTGCAGCTGCTCGTCAGCTGGAGGATGGTGGTTGCTGTGGGGTCAGCTCCCTCCTGGTGCCCTCTGCAGGGTGCGATGGCCACTGCGTGCGGACACCAAACTGCTTCTGACAGCTGGATGCTTTCAGTTTTATTTTTAATTGTTTTACTAGAAGCTGTGAGGAGCCCTCGTTCTTTATAGATGCCCCATGGATGTGGGCTGCGGCAAAAGCCTAGCGCGAATGTGAAGATACTGACTGCCTGGTCTCTACCAATAGATGGGGACGACTCAAGGCAAAAAGTTCTGCCCTCTGTGCCCGCCAGCCCGCGGGGAGAGCAGGACTCCACACCCTGCGGGAGGTGGTAACAGGGTAGTGGTCCATGGGGAATGGCACTCTGCCAAGACACCAGCATCCTTGAGTTGTGCCAAATGTTCTTTTTTTTTTTTTTTTTAAGATTTATTTATTTATTTATACAAGCACTGGGTACAGTCAGAAGCGCGGGAGGGTGAGAGAATTCACCAGAGCCAGAGCCGGGAACAGAGCAGGCAGAGTGACGAAATACACTGCTGAGCGGAGCAGCGGGCGAGACAGGAGAGGTCTGCTTCGCCATATGGGACCCTTCTGCAGTGGCCGGGGAGCAGCCGGGGATCGAACCGGCGCTGCAGAGGCTGCGGGCAGCTTCGCAACCCAGCGCTCAACCACTGCGCCACTGGGGAGGCCCTGTGCCAAATGTTCTTGAATGTCTCTCCCGGCCTGTAGCGGGAGCGGGTACTGATGCTGCCTCTGTGGCACAGCTCCAGGAATTAAATCCACAATAACGGGGTCCGATTAATAGTGGAGGGGGGGTTATTTTCAGCCCACACATGAGGAAACTCATTAAAAAAAAATCAGGACAACCTGGTGCAATAAACTTTGTACCATTCTATCTCCATTCTTCTTTTGGGGTAA